GACTTAAAATGGAGAGGATTCTATCACAAGCACAGAAGCCGCTGGGAAGACCTAAGTATGTCCTTGGTTTGATGTTACACTAATTTTGACATGAACATCTCAACTCTCTTTTATCTTTTTCCTGTGAATGTCATTTCTGTGAAATTTGAAGCTCTTCAAATCAAGAATCAAAGTCTGGAGAGTGCCATTAAAGGTAGAAATGTGTAAAAACATTGTGTGTCAGGTTTATGCCTAATAATTTATTCTCTTAACACTCTTGAAAAGGACACTATCACTGTTATTTTGAGTTTGAAGGTTAAATAGATTAATAAACCTACTGACTTCTAAACTTTTAAGAAAGGAATAGCAGAACCAAAATTTAAAAAAATGTATGAGAATGTTGACACTTACCAACTCATTCTCCATGCCCTCTTTGCTCACAATCACTTTCATTATTCATCAAAGCACAACTGAAAAAATGTGGTTAAAATAGCACTAAGAAAAAAAAAATGAATTGATTCTTAGGAATGCCAAGAAAATGTTTCAGTAAGTGAATTTACTCTTAAAATTAATTTAATTTTCCTATATAGGTGATACATGTTCATATATTTGCAAAAATAAAATACGGTATAGATTTTTAACAATGTTGATTCTTAAATGTCTATACTTCCCAAAGCAATCTACCGATTCAATGCCATCCCTATTAAAATACCAGCATCATAGTTTCAAGACTTGGAAAAAATAATTCTTCATTTTCTATGGAACCAGAAAAAAACCTGTATAACAAAGGCAATTCTTAGTAATAAAAACAGCACTGGGGGCATTAGCATATGAGACTTTAGGCTGTACTACAAGGCCATTGTGATCAAAACAGCATGGAATTGGCACAAAAATACAGACATAGACATCCGGAACCTAATACAAAAACTAAGAGATGAAACTAACATCTTACAGCCACCTAATCTTTGATAAATCAAATAAGAACATACACTGGGGGAAAGAATCCCTATTCAATAAACGGTGCTGGGAGAACTGGGGGAAGACTGCAAAAGACTGAAAATGGGCCCACACCTTTCTCCACTCACAAAAATTGATTTAAGGTGGATAGAAGACCTAAATTTAAAGCATGGGAAAAACACTTGAAGATATTAGCCTGGAGAAAGTAAAGACTTTATAAAGAAGACTTCCATGGTAATTGCAACAACAATAAAAATAAACAAATGGGACTTAATTAAACTGAAAAGCTTCTGCACAGCTATAAAGACAACAACCAAAGCAAATAGACAACCTACACAATGTGAAAGGATATTTGCATATTTTGAATCAGGAAAAAGCTTGACAACTAGTATGTACAGAGAACTCAAATTAATGTAAAAAAGAGCCAACAATCCCTTATATCATTGGGCAAAAGAGATGAATAGAACGTTTTCTAAAGACAGACAAATGGCTAACAAACATCTGAAAAAATACTCATCATCCCTAATCGTGGGCATGGAAATCAAAACCACCCTGAGATATCATCTAACCCCAGCAAGAATGCTCCATATCACAAAGTCTCAAAACTGCAGATGCTGGCATGGGTGTGGAGAGAAGGGAACATTTTTACACTGCTGGTGGGACTGCAAACTAATACAACCTTTTTGGAAAGAAGTATGGAGAACTGTCAAGGAACTCAAGTTAGGCCTCCCCTTTGATCCTGCAATCCCACTACTGGACATCTACCCAAAAGAAAAAAAAAAATTCTTTGACCATAAAAATACCTGTGCTATACTGATTATTACAGCTAAATTTATATTCACCAAAATGTGGAAACAGCCTAAATGCCCACCAACCCAGGAATGGATTAACAAGCTGTGGTATATGTATACAATGGCTGTATACTATTCAGTCATTAAAAAGATGGAGACTTTACATCTTTTGTATTAACCTGGATGGGAGTGGAACACATTATTCTTACTAAAGCATCACAAGAATGGAGAAGCAAGAATCCTATGTACTAAATTCTGATATGAGGACAATTAATGACTTAGTACACAGTGGGGGGTGGGGGAAGGGGAGGTCAAAGAGAGGAAGGTGGAAGGGGGTTGGGGTCACTGTTTGTGACACACCTTTTGGGAGTGGGACACAATTATAAGAGGGACTTCACCTAAGAAATGCAGTCAATGTAACCTGGTTCTCTGTATCCTCAATGAATTCCCAACAGTAGATAAATAAATAAATAAATAAATAAGGTAAAACAGCAGCCATTGTCGTATATTCTCCACTGTAATTCCTGCTCCTCCTTTTGGATCCTTGGTTTCCAGTGTCAGGAGTGATGACTAGGTCCAAATTCAACTAATGACAGAGTGATCACCAATACAAAGCAATCTCACACACACAGCATTTATAGTAAAGCAAAAGTATATCTCAAAGGGAAAAACAGATCATTCTCTGCAAGGGGAGAAGACTCCAAAGTCTTAGGACACATGGCCTTTTACATATTCACTAGTTTGTCCTACCTCTCTCCTCGGTGGGATTGGCTGCCTTCTCACCTTTGGATGACTGGCTGATTGGGGTTACGTAATAGATAACTTTCTACATTATACATGGAGTTATTTCTTGTGGAAGATTAAAACTTAGCCATTTGGCATTCCGCCTCTTAAGTAAATATATCCTACCTGTTGAACGCGTGACACCTGCCATCTACACCAGAAGCAGCAGTCCAAGGACATTAACCCACTCTCTGGATTTTAGGTGTTAGATTGCAAGAAATCCATGACTTACACAGACACTAGATGAATGAATGGCTTTACTAAGAGTCAGAGAGAGATCAGCTTTAACAGTGAGTAGTGATCTCCATGGGCAGTGTTCTCCCCTCCTGAAGACACCTGGTGATGGTTTGAAGGAATCCTTCTTGTGCTTAAAGCAAGACCTTGTCCCTTCCCTGCTGTGAACATTATAGTGCAGTTTACAGCACACTAAATGGTATAGATGTAGAACAGATTCGGTATCAGAGTTGACCAAGTGGCACATGGCAAGTGGCATATGCTTAAGCAGAATGAATAAGTACACCTTGGGTAGGAAACAGGAAAAGATATTCCCACACAAGGCGGTTAACCCAGTAAGACTGAGAGGGCTCTGTATGTATTTTTAAAGAAATGTTTCAGGCCCAAGGCCCACTCGTAAGCAGCCCTGTGAGGACTGACATACTGAACACACATGGCTGTCATTCCCAACACTGACCAACACAGACAGCTTTATAAAAATTTCAATATTAAGTTTATTATTTATGTATATAGCATATATATAAATCATGTGTGACATATTATGCAATACAATGTAAATAAATGCATATTATACATTTATATAGTGTATATAATGTAATGATATATGATCATCCATATAATTATTATTCTCAGTTGAAATATCAATTACATGTTCATTTCTTATAGTTTCTGTCATCTGGGTATTTCCTGGTCCTCAGTGGTCAAGGGTGAACCACCTCACAAAGGAAATTAAAGTACCGTTTTAAAATTTTAAATATAAATGCAACTTGGGTTTCAAATTAACATGCTTCATACACCTCTAATAGGCTCAGGAGCAACTCAGATACATGGTAGTGAGAGGCACTTGGAAATTGGGTACAGAAGGAACATCCATATACTGGAATTGATAGAATGACTAAGCTTAGGACAGATAGGAAGGATGGTGCTGGGACAGAAAGCTGTAATTCCTAGATTTCTCTAGGTGAACTTAGTCTCAAGTGTTATGGATGTCACCAGCCAGCTTTCCAGGCCAGCAGGTGACATCCCAGGTTGCTCAGATTCATGGCATTTGCAAAACAAAAGGTATTTCCTAATACTACAAATCAATAAACTGTGGTCCAGAGGGGCTGACCACATCCTTTTTCACTACCAAAATATATGATAAAGAATGACTAGGCAAATAAAAAAGACCTACATGTACGCAGATAATCCTAAATTTGACAGTGCTTGTCCTACCTCATCAGAGGTTATGTACCCAATATACTGTGAATTCCTCATACTTTTCAATGAATGGGCTTGTAACCCACATATTCACAGGGTACAGTAGTTAATAGCACACAGACAGTAAAATATAATGGTTTACTGAAGATTTTTTAAAACAGTATCTTAGTCCTTAAACCATCCAGATGGGTATGCAACAACTGCTTATAGAACAGAGAGAAAATTTTCTTAAAAAATTAAGACTATTTAAAACTGATGTAGGAAAACAGGCAAAATTGAGAAAAAAAAGCACTTTTATGATAAATATGTAGCTGGTTTGAAAGACCACAGAGGAATCATTTACTCATAAAGAAGGCTCAAATAAGTTTAAAAAATGCACAGATTATTTTAAATAAATAATTTAAATATAATTTTCATATAATAGTGAATTGAAAAATCTTCAAAAGATTAAGGTGATCTTTTTCAATCTTGACCACTCTTTTAGTTCTGACAAGTACAAGGAAAGAAAATGCCTACTCTCAAGTGAGGAAAATTCTGAAACGTTGTTTGCATTTAAAAAGAAAATGCGTATATGGGAATGTCCTTAATTAAGACTCCCTGCTGGTAAGGCACATAAGGCCCAGAGAAGCTGGTTGCAGCATTAAGGCCATCACTTACTGCAAAGCACTTATCCAGCCAAGGGTATCGCGGCAGTAAGAGCCTGTGCTTGTGCCTCTCACATGGTGCTCAGAGGGTTCAGAATGACTCAGTGGAAGTCAGAAGAAGTAGATTTAACCTCGTGCATAATAATCTAAAAATACAAACTTTTATAAAGAACAAGAGATTACTTATGTAAACCACCAGTATCTCTCTCTCTCGCTCTCTGCATTTATGAGCTAACAATTCCATTGCCTGCTTCCATGATTACTATACATCCTAAGAACACCATACTTGACATATGAAAAAGGAAAGAGGGCGAATATTTAAGGTTCCCTGCCCTACCCTCTCTTTATGAGTTAAAGGTTAATCTGGTCCCCCCTGCATCTTTGGAAGGGCAGAGCTTATCTACCGCGTGGTTCAGTGTTTTGCCCCTATGATGACTTGCAATATATCGATGGGCAGAGGGAAGATAATCGTTGAGTTCTTCTCAGCAGCGATGGTATTAAGTGTCTGAAGGTATCGGAGCTCCAGGGCTGCCGGAGATTGAGTCATGATCATGGAGGCTTCCTTCAGAGCCCTGGATGCATTCATTTCTCCTTCAGCTGCAATGACCTTGGCTCTGGCCTCCCTGGCTGCTTCCGCTTCTGCAGCCATAGCTCTCTGGAGCTGCACAGGTAGTTTCACGTCCTTAATATCCACACGCTCCACCTTTATTCCCCAGTCGTCAGTGGCGCTGGCCAGAGTACAGTGCATGTTGCGTGCAATTTCTTCTCTGTCGGAAAGAATTTGAGAGAGGCTCTTGGTGCCCAGAACGTTCCTCAGCGTGGTCTGCGCCAGCAGGCGGGTGGCGGAGTCGGCGTTGGTGATGTTGATCACCGCCAGCCTGGCGTCCTGAACGCGGTAGTAGACCACGCCGTCCACCCTAACCGACACCGAGTCCTTACTCAGGATCTCCTGAGGAGGAATGTCAAAGGAAACAGTCCTCATATCCACCCTGACGAAGCTGTCAGTACACGGCAGAACAAAAACCATGCCAGGGCCTTTGGCTCCTCCTTGTAAAATGTGACCCAGTCTAAAGATGATGGCTCTTTCATACTCTTTTATGATCTTAATGCACAGCCACATCGAGATTGGGAACGTTATAAGGGTGACTAAGAACGAGACAGCCACTAAAATCCATCCACAAGGTCCGAAGCTCCTTCTTGGACTACTATCCCTGAGGGTGTTGGGGAGCCGCGGGGCTCCCGAGTCCTCCGTGAGCCCCTTGTCAGACATGCTGGCCGAACTGGACTCGCGTGGCCTGTGAGGCGTCACCTTGGCCATAACCGCCGGGAGGGCGCGTGCGCGGAGGGGTGGGGCGGAGCGCCGGGCTGCAGCCCCGCCCCCTGTGGTCCCGCCCCCTTCTTAGTCCGTTGTAAGACAAGTTTCCTCAATTTTACCACTGCTTTTTTGTCAGCTCACCATTTTTTTTTTAATATATGTGTAATATATATATGTATCTATACAAAACCTATGTATAGATACATATATATTTACAGTCTGGCTCACAATTTTTTCCTTCTAAAATGTTCTTTTCTACCAGTTTTCCTCTATTTCTGCTTTTCTGATGTTGCCCTCTGAGCTTGCACTAATTGCACTAAGTCTTTTTAAACCTCTTATCACCAGGTTCTCATTGCCATAGTCTGAATACTGTATTGTTCAAATTTTGTTATGGAGAATTTGAACAAAACTTATTTATGAACTCTATCAAGAATAACTTTGTATATAAATTTTGAAATTGAGTGAGGGGTGTGATGATTATGTCTGTACTCAAAAAAAATCCATTAGCGAGCAAGGCTATATTTTATCGCCCATAATTAGAAAATCAGAGTCTTTAGTATAGGAGAATAGAGCATATGCAACAGACCTAAGAGTTTCTAATTGAAAATACAGCTTGAGTCTCTTCTCAAGCAAGTAATATGATTGTGTATTAGTGTATATGTGAGTGCATACTCCACACTCCACTGGAGTATATTTTTAAAAATCAGATGTCTCCAATTAAGCTTCCAGGTGAATCACATATGATCTCATGCCTTTATTTTGGTTTCCTTCCAAATAACGAATGTGTCCCTTTCAGTTGGTAAATGTAACTTGAAACTGTATTTGATTCAGTAACAAAATCCTTCCTTCCTTTCTTCTTTTTTTCTCTTTTTCTTCCCTGTTCTCATTAAGAGTTTACCAAATTTACACCTTTTGCTAAACATTCTACTACTTAACAATTTTAAAAATGAGACTTCCTGTTATCAAAAGTTCTTTATTCAAGACAGTGAGAAACTTTATAACTCAAGTGACAACAGAATATAAATTATTTTCTATATTTTAAAATAATTCTGTTAAATTTTAGAACCTTGTCAAAGGAGATTAATAACAGAGGTAGTATATATTTCTAACTTGACTCACTCTCAGCAAACTGAAAGACTCTAAAATCCTATGTTAAAGAATACTTAATTAAATTATAATTACGAATCTTCCCCCACTGTCTTCAGGTTTCTGTTATTATGATAAATAGTAATAAAACTAGAATAGCACTTTAAATTGAATTGGTTTTCCAGAATA